TGTCCTCTGCTCACCAACCACCTCTCTGGCCTCCCCCATCCCTCTACCCTCCACTTCAGCCTGAAGTTCCCGGACAGGATGCTCTTTCTCTCTTGGGCCTTCACCTACAGCTCCTATGGGGTTACTTCCTCCAGAAGCTCCCTGGCTGGGGCTGGCCTGCCTACCTCTCCTGGATCTCACAAGAAGCCAGGCACCCTTCCTACTCCACACCCACCACTGGCCTGGAGAGAGCTGCATGCATATCCATACCCCACCAGACTAGGGAGGGCTCCTCCCAGGTGGGAACTTCCCCTCCTTCCTCAGCACCAGGAGCCCTGGGTCCTCGTGTAATGGGGCCAGGGATGGAGGTAGCAGAGGATCTCTGAGCAGGAGTCTGATGGCTGGTTCCTCAAGTCCCTTCTCACAGAGAACCCAGGATCCTAGCTCATCTGTCCTTTGCACATAACTATTTTGATAAAAGAAAACAGGTATCAAGAGTAAACACTGGAGAGAGTTCTTATCCATGGAAACTGAAAGGCTTGATTATAGCTCCTTCACAAGTAAGAAAAATGTTTGAATATTCTCATGGCCACTGTCAGATTGCAACAGTAGCTCCTGGAGCTGTGACAGACACCAAAAATCCATTTCAGGACAGAGATGCCACTGTGGTGTCTTTTCCCCAACTAGGAGACCCAAAAATATCCATCAGTTAAAAGGCCCCTTCGTTGTTTTTGACATCTTTAAGCCCAGGAATGGGGTCTGGGTCCTCTGAGTACTGCTGACCTCTCACACGGCCAGGGACAGAGACCTCTGTGGCCCATGCATAGCAATTTTCCAGCATTCTCCCTAGTGTGTGGCTCGTCCCTCCTCTGGAGTCCACGAGGTGCTGAACCTATGCACAAAATTTTCCCAGGGTCCCAGTCCCGCTCTGTTTCCCACTCAGGTCTCTCCAACGAAAACAAGTCCTAGGCCAGGATCCAAATTCTGGGGTCTGTTGGGGAAGGGGGTGCTGGGACACAGCCTCTGTCCGGCATGTCCTTCTGATGTGGAAACCAGATCCCCAGAGCTCCCGGATGCCAATGGAATGCATTTAAGGCTCTTAGAAAAAGCTGTGCTGGTGTGTGTGTGTGTGTTTTTTTTTTTTTTTTTTTTTTTTTTTGGAGTTCTAGAGAGAAATGAGCAACCGGCAGCTGCCATGAGGAGGGGCTGAGTCACTTGGAAAGATATTTTCCACAGGCTTTTTCCACCTTGCGCAGTTCATGCTGATGGTGCATCTACCCCATGACGAAGGCAACCAGGCCATCGCCAGAGCCATGATGGTGTGTCACTAGTACCAGGCTGTCATGATAACCAAAGGATCGACCGCAGGATCTTCATTCCACAAGTAGAGGCAGTTTCAAATGAAACCAAGTACCAGGGACCTGATGTTCTAGGGATGTGACACCTCAGGCTGTAATGTGGATTCAGGGGCTCCAAATAGGGGAGGGGGGATTTAAAGCAAAAGGAAGCACAAAAACATGATTTAAGATCTTCCCACTGTATATAACAGCATTTGATGGCTTCAAAGACAATCAAATCTAATGTGGCAAAGTCTACGCTTTCAATCCACTGCCTTCTAACCTCAGCTGCTGTGGACAAAAGGAGACCACAGCCACTGGACTTAATGACCTGTTAACTGACACCTGCTGATCTGTTAATCCACCACTTCGAACCCCAACCTCTCTGTTCACACTTCTTCAGAAGGCAGCTTTTCTGTGCTTGCAAGGTTCATTCCTTCTCTTAGACCTCCCTTCCCGCCTTCCCCCACAACACCACCTCACTGACCTTCCTCAGGATCAGCCATGAATAAGATGGTAAGTTTCAGTTCCTTTTTCCTCAGTCCACAAAATTCCTAGGTCAGGATCCAAATTCTAGGGTCTGTTGGGAAGGGGGTGCAGGCACACAGCCTCTTCCACGTCTAGACACTTTAAGGGTGCTTCTCCCTCTACTCAGAATGTCATTTCTTCTCATTCTCCACATAACTTCTACTAATTCTTCCAGACTGGGCAGATTCTACCTATCCCCAGGAGACCTCTCCTGCTCCTCCCCACTCGAGCCTTGTCTATGCCAGGCATGTGCCTCTGGGAAGCCAGGGTCCACCTCCACAGAGAGTACCAAGTCTCTGATAAATGATGCTTTCTTTTAGTTGGTCAATAAAAATATCTGTAGAATGCTCACCAGAGCACTACAGCAGATCTCCTCAACTGAACCCACTAACCTAAGGCCATAGCACCTGGCAAAGGCCAATCACAGTGTCACAAATAAGGATTGCTAAGCTGACCTGAGGATGCAACCAGGATGAAAATCCATATGGCAACCTGCCTCAGATGCTTGTGAACTCAGAGACCTAGGAGGTGGTCCTAAGTCCCACTACTTTCCTGCTCATGTCACCCACTAAGCCTCCTCGTGAACCCCTGCTCTGACCAGGCCTGGTTTTCAATGCTATTGTCAACACCAGTGTCTTCAGCTCCGAGCCACTGGGTTTGCTATTCCCCACACCCGGAATGCCTTCCCCATCCCATCCTACCAAATCCCACGTTACTAAAAAAAAAAAAATTAGAAAAAAATTTTAAAGGGTTGCTTGTTCTACAAAAGCCAGTCCCACATCCTCCCTGAAGCCTCTCCTAAAAAGAGGTTCACACCGTTCTCTCCCTACTTGGCCTCCTCTCTGGGTATGCATATGCATATCCCTGACACCTCTTCACCCCCATTATTTTTTGTTCTCATTTAATTCCTCTCCAGGGTCTTTGTGTACTAGTCCACACGACGGATGTATGCTCTTAGATACATCCTAAATCCTGCAAGATTTCTGCAAGTAAGGTCTTATTCTGAGAGATCTAGTTCTGAGTGTGATTTGGTCTCCTATGTAATGAAGGAGTTTTTGTATTTTTAGTTTTCTTCCCATACAACAAACACTATTAATAACATCCTACTTTCTCCAGAGATGATATGGATTAGACCAAATGGAAAGTTACCATGGCTACCGCAAGTGTTATTTTTGGTATGAGAAATTCATGCCAAGAGAAGCAGTATACATGGTCAAGATTTGGAGCCTTATTTCCGTTTTGTTATCAGGCAATCAATCCCAATTTAATTTTGAAATTCTAATTGCAACGGAAACTAATTATGAGCAGAAAGGCCTGAAACCCCTAATTAAAGTGGGAGTCAATAAAAACGATTTGGCATTATCATTGAGGCACCGTTAGTAGGATGAAGGATTGACTACAGGCAGATTTCCTTCCCAGGTAACTAAGCAAAACACAACAGGAAAGCTCATCGGGAGGGTACAGTTAGGGAACCCCAAGTTGGAAATGAAGATCACACTTTCTGGTGAGTGAGCAGGTCAGGGCCTCTGTCTGTGTTAAGTCTTCAACAAACGATGGGTGGGGTGGGAACCCCAGGGGTGGAGGGAGAGCATTTCTACCAAGAGTCATCCACCAGGAGTGGCTGGGGTAGGGAGGGTGAGAAAAAGTTCAAGGACAAGAAATGGTTTAGATTAACCCCATATGTTACGTGGCCATTTCTGTGAAGGACTTGGGAGCTCTTGCTGCAGATAAGCAGTGGTATCCAAACAGAATCTCATCGCTCAGACCCAGATATTTATGGGCTGATTCCTCACATACCAAACGCTGAGCTGTACTTTTCTGAATTAGCAGAAGTTGGCGTCTGGAAGGACTTCTATTATAGAGGGAGAACCTAGTGCCAATCTCTGAAGTGCATGCTTTCCTTCGGGACCTCCCAGTCTATCTTTGACAGCTCTATAATACTGTTAATAGCATAATGTCATCTGCTCTATGCTAGAATGATCCATATTTAGGCACCAAATCACAGGGTCCTCACGTCACCCCGCTGGGCTCCTGGATAAGAAAGGGGCTCTGAAGTCAGGGAGAGAACACCTCTAACTGATAGTTAAGTATGCATCCTCCTCCAAATTTCTTGACAAAGACCTAAAATACAAAAATGGACTTTGCTGAATGGATGGAAAGCCAGTCTGAACACTTCAACCAGTCAGCAAAGTCTGAGGACACCCACCCTCTTCTCATTCAAAGCACATTTTCCCCACAGATGGTTCTTTCTCTCTGTAACAGGTAATTTTCCTGAGTTTTTTTTTTTTTTTTTTTTTTTTTTAAGCATTACCAAAAAGAAAGAAGCAGAACATCATCTCCCTGTTGTAGCCTTTCACTCCCTCAGGAGAGGGAGTTCTGCTGCAGGGTAGGAAGAATTCCTTGAGAGCTTCTGGTCTCCGATTTCCCAGAAATAAATGAAGTTCATAGTCACACTGGGGCTGGCAGAATTTTTTCGAGGCAGACAAACCCCAAGATCAACGGAAGCCCATGTTAATCTTAATTCTTGGTGCGTCACAGGCAGGCAACATGGAACACAGGCCTTGTCTTGAATTAGTCAAATGAGTTTTCAGAATATTTTCATCAAAATAGTATATTGACATATTATGCAAAGTCGCTGGCACTGTGTCTTGTAACAAAGGTTACAGTGTGAGTGGTAAAGAAAAACACATTTCTGAACTCTGGGGAGCTAACTGCAATTTGAAAAGAGAGACTTTGTGGTTTCTCTACATTACTGACATGTAATGGACCTTCAGGTTAAGCAGAGAAAAGGACCCAGCTATCTCACATTTAGTATGAACGTGGGAAGAGAGACGGGACAAAGACAGGAAGAAGAAAAATGACCTCTGTCATGTTCAGCTCCTTTGGTATGAAATTTCAGCCCAAGGAAACTGAAAGTGTCCCGAACAACAGAGCCTCATCCTCAAACACAGACAAGGAGCCCCATTCCTGTGCCACTGGATTCTGCTTCCAGGAGAGGGACACACCACTGGGGGTTCATGATCCATCAGTTAAAGAAAGCACTTCTGTTTTTACAGCCAGCAAACTACAAAGTTTTTCTAGTGCTCTTTAGAAAACCGATGCTTTTAGAGCCCCCCAAAGAATTATAGATGCACTTAATCTCCAAACCACACCTACCTTGACTCCAAGGAGAGATTTGCGGTGATAGAAGCAGCACAGAGCTGCTGAGAGGGCGTGGAAAGCATTGCATTCCTTAGGCATCTTTTGGTCTTCAGTCCTGGGCACCACTTGCTTTGATTAGGGTTCAAAAAAGGGGGCATTGGACAGTACAGCCCTGGTCCTGCTGCAGCAGTGGTGCTGTTCCTGTCCGCAGCCGGTGGAGTGAGTTGGCTCCTTCTCCCAGGCCAGTCTCGGACTTTTCCCCTCCGCTGAAGCCAATACGATCTGCTCGCTCAATTCTGGCAGGCTGGTGTCCAGCCTGCCATGCACACAGTGCCAGAAATTCTCATGTGACCAGACTTGCTTTCTGATGAAATTCTAACCCCTCTTAGAAGAGGCCTTGGGCTTTAGCTGTCCCCTAATTGAGAGGCCCAGCAGAAATCATTAAACCCCCAGGCAGCCTGTCCCCTCTCAGGGATGAACTGCATCATGCAATCTGCTTTTAGTGGCGTTGTCTGTTTGCTTATCACCCCAGCACCTTGGGGTTTAAGGAAGCAGGACAAGTTGTACGCATCACACCACCTTGTTATGAGACAGAGGCTCCTTTGAGAAAAGGCAATGGCCTAAAAGTGACCAGGGTGTGACTTTCCCTGGGAGCAATCCTAGAAGTTCTTAAGAAACCCAGACAGGATCCCAGTCCCCATGCCACCTCCAGTGCTGTTTGTTTTTAATTAGGATGCTCCTGGCAGTCAGTTTGCAACTGATAATGCTGGCACAGCCATCACTATTGGCAAAGCAATATTGCCTTTTGGTGTTTAATTAGCAAGTCTGTCAGCAAACACGGTGAGCGCCCTATGCCCTCCCCACCTGGCTGGGCAGGCTGCTGAGAGGACAGAGACTGTGTACTCCCTTCTGCCCCCACAGTTTGTCCTTCTCCATTCCTTCCCTTTAAGTTCTTTAATTACCCATCTTCACTTTAATTGTCCACTCTGCCTAACTCCAGTCAGCACATAAACCTCGTATCCAACACAGTCAGGAATGGCCTTCCTAGACGCCCCCGCACTGAGACCGTTATCCCTCCTCCAAGAGCCTCAGAGCATCTTTAGGAGAAAGTAATTGCTTTTCTCTTTCATTCTAGTTATAGTGAATGCTCAGTTCTTCTGGTGTGTGTGTGTGTGTGTGTGTGTGTGTGTGTTGTTTAATCAAACCCAGCTTTCTGCCTGTAGCTCTTCCTCTCCTACTGTTTCAAATATTAACTTTCTGTGGCTTGGGCCACTCAGAAATGGAATGTGTCCCGAAGCTTCCTAAAACTTCACACAGGCAGAAACTTGTCATGAGGAAGAAGCAGAACCTATTCAGTCTAGAAAGGAACAATACCGGATGAGGCATGAGAGAGGTATGAGAAGTATCCAATGGGATTAGTGTCAAGTCCTCAGGAGGCCTTGGCCTTTGGGCTAGGTCAAGTCTGCCCATGAAAGTAGGGAATTGTTTGGTGCTGGGGGAGCAGCTTCTGTGCTTGAGTCGGGAATGGAGAGCCACAGGCCTCACACCCACAAAGATGATGAGGCTCCACCTAACAAACACTGCAGGCACACAGAGCTACCAATGGTCTACAGACACAGGAACAGCCAGGAAGCAGACTGCCCTTCTGCTCCTTTGGTTGGCTTTCTTCCTCTCCTGTTCTGAAGGTTGGGTTTGCTATCCTGGAAACACATGGGTCCTGTGAAGTCCACCCGAGCACCTGCAGCAAGTTATCAAGGCTTTGAGTTCTCCCAATCTAGGAGTCCAGGGGATCATCCTGATGTGTCACTGCCCTCCAAGGTCCATGCTCTGTACTAATGAGGAAGCATTTTCTGACTATCCTTATTTCTATCAGGTAGGGTTCAACAGATAAGACCCCCAAGCACGTTTGTGGGGATGGCTTGTCAATCATGCCAATAGTCAACAGGGGAGGGGCCCAGTTTTTACCTGCTATTCCCTTTGCTAGGAAATAACAAGCATCTTCTTGCTGAAAACCTCCCCAAGGGGCCAAGAAGACACCATCCCAGTCCCAGGAAAAGGGAAAGAGAGCAGCTCCTTAAAGCCTGTATAGAAATTCAGTGAGGTTGGTCAGCAAACACCTCTGAATTTCCCTTCCCTCCCCGCAGAAAGTGAAAGAATCCAGATTATCCCCTCCCTCCCCCAAGAATGTGAAAGAAAACATTCTTGAAAGTAAATAAAATGCAAATAACTCAGAAGTGTAAATTACACTGAATTATGCAGTGGAGAGCAGCCAGGGTGAATGCACAACAAAAGACCCAGCTAGGCACCTGAGGCTTTCCCTGTTTACTCCAAGAAAAGTCTTATTAAAGGCCGGAGTTTGTTCCAACAGGATTAAAGAACGGGCTAATCTTATTAAGCAACTGTTTCCTAAGCACATTTTATTTTTGTTCCACACCAAAAATAATTTCTGAAGCAGCGCTCAAAAGGTATTAATCAATTTTCTTCCAAAATGGCCAAGAAGAGACTAAAATAATGTGTTGATAATTGCATCAATTCCCAAAGTGCCCTTCACTGACTTGCTATGCTTTTAAATGTCTCCTATCCACACTGATCAATTCCCCCATATTCTCCCCACAAAGATTATTCTATTCTCGTTACAAAGAAAAAGGACCAAGATGATGTGTGACTCTGCAGAGAACAAAGGACAGGACTCCGGCCTTGGATTGCAGAGCCTGTAACTGGTCACATGGAAACACAAATAAGAGATTTTATAATGTCTTATAATTAAACCTGTTGTTATTCATGCAGCCACACAAGAATGCTGTGACCTGAGGCAGTGGGTCACTCTGATGATACGGTTCATGGGACCTAGGACCTATCTGGATTTAAGGGTTTTCTAAACCCTATACTCTCCTGGGAACAGGGGCGTGTCTCTCTAATGGAATCCCAGGGACCCACCGGCACACAGCGCAGAGCTCTGGGAAAAGTTCTGGGCTGCTCTCCAGTGCCCCCTCTGGCCACCTGAGAGACTTGCTTCTCTGCACTAAGGGAAACACACCTGTTAGGTGATAAAGCAGGGCAGCTAAGTGGACCCTTGAAGGAAATTCCCATTTCCTCCAGATCAAGAGTCCCCAGACCATCTAGGGAGAGGGGTAAGCGGCTAAAGGAAGGTTCTGCACAAGCACTGCCTGCAATTCCAGTTTTTCCTTAGGCAGCCTTAATACTAACCTGCCCTCTTCGGTAACCATGGAAACAGGAGCTGTCTGCCAGCCTTATTCAACAGACACATGCCTCCTGTTGGCAGCAGCACTTGGCTCAGAGGGATGAGAGAGTGAGTGCAGTGCCCCCTTTCCAAAGTCTCTGCCCTGATGAGATGATCAGGCCCCCAGTGTGGTGGGTAGACCCCCACTGACGGGCACTGTAGGATGGGTGTGGTAGCAGCTTTCTGCTTTTCACTGACTCAGGGCATCCAGGAAACAATATTGTCTATAACCCCCCACTCTTCCCCAAAGCCAGCCACCCCAGACCCTGGACATGAAGCCTTAATGGAGGAACTCTCAGACATTGTCAAGAAGCCTCTTGGTCAGTGACACTGCCCTTGGTCAGGAAACTGGAGGGCACCAGTCCAAGGCTGCAATGCCTCACTCATCCCTGTCCACGGTGAACAGACTCAGAACATCAGCTGGGGGGTAAACATTAGCTATTGTGCCGTGGTGACCAAAACAGCTCAACCTCTCATGGCAACAGAGATTCTGAGATTTTTCACAGGCAACATACATACTCTCTGTCTCACACAAATCCTTTTTGGGTATATGTGTGTGGTGCTGAGGATTGAACTCGGGGCCTCACTCATGATTAGCATGTGTACTACCACTAAGCCACACCCCTAACCCCTTTCTGGTTTTTGGTTTCTACTAAGCCCCGGGGATCTAGATCTTGGTGAACAAAGACATCTTTAATGGCCCAGGGAGGAAGGCCCAGGAAACCAGCTCTGGTTCTCCTGGTGTCAGAGGAAGAAGGGAAAGGCAACTTGGCTCTGTGCCCCCAGCACCTGTGTGGTAGGTAGCACATCGCGGTGCCCTCTGCAGGTTCAGCTCCCTGGAGAGCAGTGTGCCAAGGGCTTGAGAAGGGGAGGGCCAGAAGAGAGGTGAGTGATCCGTAGCCCTGCCTTCCAAGGCTTCCCCAGACACCTGCCACATGTCTGCCTGATTCGGAACAAATACAGCCCTCTCTGACTTCACGACTGCTGCAAAGTGAACCAAACAACTGTCCTGTTTCTTGCTTTCAGTAAACTACAGGAGCCGTTCAACACTTAGCTTACAAGGTGGGCTTTGTGGGGGATGATTTTACCCAACTCTAGGCTAACGTAAGTGTTCTGAGCATGTTTAAGGTAGGCTTGGCTAAGCTATGATGTTTGGTAGGTTAGGGGTATTAAGTACATTTCGATTTAGGATATCTCTTTCTCTCCCCCTTACTGCCCACCTCTCTCTTGAAATGTTCAGGATGGAATTCTGGCCTTCATGCATACCAGGCAAGTGCCCTACCACTGAGCTACAACCCCAGCCCTGATAGGTTCAATTTAAAATAGGTTTATTGGGACATCACCCCATTATAAGTGGAGGGACATCTATAAACCAGGAGGAGCACACCTTCAGACAAACAGCCACAGGGCCTTAGGGAACAAACAGGGCCAGGAACTCACTAAGAAGGAAAGAGACCACCTCCTTTTTAGGCCAGACAGAGCAGCTAAAGCTGCCAGAGATGTTTTCCTATACATAAACATGATTTATTTCTTGCTCCAAATGGGAATGTAGATGGGACTCAGTGGGAGGACAGTAGGCAATGCTGGCCAAGCTCTTGGACTGCTCTGAGTTGTTCGCCTTAGTGAACACAGAGATGCATTTAGGAGTGTTTGCTGTACACATCTCAGTCTGACAGTTTCCCCAGATTCCTCAAGGGGATGAAAGATATGGCTGTTAAATGATCTCTGTCCGGAAGTGATATTGATCTGCCCAGCACACAAAGAGACTAAGTACAGTCTTCTCAAACAGATTTCTCTCTACTGGGCCTCATGTCACCCCCCCCCCCCGCCCCCGCCCCCGCCCCCTATAATTTTCTCTTTCTCTAACCAGCTATTAAAATTGTATAACTAAATGATGTAAAGCAAAATTAGGCACCCAGCCCTGATCTTGCTTTCTCGCATTATCATGTACCATTCTATCCGTTACACCCTACCCTTCCATCACTACCACCTATTTCCTGGTATTACCCCAGGAATCCTATATTACATAAGCTGAATTTTCTGTTGTTTTTAGCATGAAGGTAAAATGAAAAAGAATATGCAAAAGATGTTATTCCAACTTCTCAAATAGTCGACAACTATCTGGCAGACTAGCTTGTTTGAGCAGAAAGCCATGGACCATCTCCCAAGCAAAAGGCAGACCTGTAATGCTTTACATAAGATTGCAGGGCTTTCTATAACTCCTAAAGCCCGTCATACACACCTGGGAGCATCACCCAACCCATCTGAGATGATTTGCCACCTACTCCCTGAGCTTTTTTTGGTTCCACACTTACCATGCAGGCATCACCAAGAGCAATCATTTCTTTCTGTCATCTCAGGTTTTCTTTGCTGTACATTTTGCTCTTTGCCTTCCTCCCAATTTTGGTAAGTGTGAGCTCCTAAGCAGCTAATCAGCAATGACCACAA